AATTTCTTCTTGGAAAGAAAGCATGTGAGGATCAGCAAAGAGGACCCATTTCATAGAATTATTCTGATAACCTCATGTTACCACCATTCACATCTGTTTGTTCCCTAACAAATTGACAAAAACAAATAAAAAACACCCATAACTAATACTTGACTGTAAGGCAAGTTGCAGGATGCAAAGTTATCATGAAAAAGTCAATCACATTTCTACAAATCATCAATAAGTAATTGGAGGCTGAAATGAAACACACATACCATTTACAGTAGCACCCAAACCATGAAATACGTAGGTATGGATCTAACAAAATACATACAAGATGTACTTGAGGAAAACTGAAAAACTCAGAAGGAATAATATTATCTAAACAAAGGAGACATATTTCATGTTAATGGATGGAAAGATTCAATATTGTGAAGATGTTAATTCCTACCAACTCCATTAATTGCGAACAAAATCTCATGAAGTTATTTTGCACGTACTGGCAACCTAATTCTAAAGTTTATGTGGAAATGCGTGTGTCCCAGAATAGCCATCTCAATATCAATGAAGAACAAGTCAGAAGATTGACACTACCTGGTTTTAAGAACTGTTGTAAAGCTACAGCGATGAAGACAACTGGTGTTAGTGAATGACCACTGGGGGAGAGCAGAGAGCCCCCAAAAGACCCATAGACCCATATAAATATCATTGACTGATTTTTGGCAAAGGAGCAATGTGAACATAAAGCTATAAAACATCTAGGTGATAAATGGGAGAAAATCTAGATGCCCCTAAGTCTAGTAATTAGTTTTTAGATAATACTACAAGCATGATCCAGAAAATAACAAGTTGATCAGTTGACTCCACTGCTGTGACAGCTGAACCTGAGGTACCAGTGAAGAGTGATGGGGGATTAAGAAAAACATACACACAGATATGAAGATTAAAGGCTGGGATCAGGTGGGACACTGCTCTCTGATGGAGAAATAATGAAGAGTTGGCCCAGCAAGTTTATTTATATAGGGTTTCAGAATCAAGAAGTAAAGGACTACAGGGGCATTCTTCTTAGTGCACTAGAAAGTTACAGAGCTAGAAACATTTTTCTAGCTATTTTACTGTTGTAATGCTTGGAGCTTCCTGCAGCACTCAGGAAACCCACTGTCTAAAGTTACTGTTAAGTGGGCAGGCTCAGAAGTAGCAGCACTGGTGAAACATTGTAGTTGTCTTGTTATGCTCAGAATTTCTCTCTCCCAGGGAGCTATGTGCCTGAGATCAAGGTGGAGATTGATAAGATTCTTGCCACAGAACCTCTTTTGGCAGGGTGCACCAGAGCAACCGGTCATTCTGTGCCCTTGCACAGAAACATTCTATGGCAGCAGGTGCGTCACAGCCATGAAGCAATCAAGGAACTGCAGTCTCAGTCATTGCACTCCAAACCCCATGAAAATTTTAAAAATCTCTATGAAAGACTGTCAAGAGAATGAAAAGAGAAGCTGCAGATCAAAAACACTTGCAAACCATACATATGACAAAATGATTTTATTTCTAATACAAAAATAATTCTTAAAATTCAATCCTAGGACTATAAAAAGTGAGTGAAAAAGTTGAACCGACACCTTGCCCAAGAAGACATGCTTATGGCAAATAAGCATATTAGAAGAAGTCTGGAATCATGCTATGAGAGAATTGCAAACTATGAGTCTTACAGGAACACATCACTACATACCTATTAAAATGTCCAAAATCTGAAACCCTGACAACATTAAATGCTGGTAAGGATGTGGAGCAATTGCTGGAGAGAAATATAAAATGAAAGATACTTTTGAAGACAGCCTGGCAGGTTTTTAAAAAATAAACTTAAATGTAGTTTCACTACACAGTCTAGTAATTGTGTTCCTTAATAATTACCTAGCAGGTTTGAAAAACTAGGACCACACAAAAGCCTGCGTACAAAAGTTTATAGCAGTTTTATTCATAACTGCAAACACTTGGAAGCATCAAAGATATCTTTATATAGATAAGTGGATAAACTGTGGTATATCCATACTCTGGAATGTATTATTCAGAGATTTTTTTTAAATGAGATATCAAGCTGTGGAAAGATATGGAAAATGATTATTCACATGTCTGTTTTAAGGAAGCCAGTATGAAAAGGCAACATACTGAGTGATTCCAACTGTCCAACTAAATAACATTCAGCCAAGGAAAATATATGGGAGGGTGAATTGGTAGAGCATAGAGGATTTTTAGGGATGTGAAATAATTTTGGATGATTACTATAATGGCCCAAAGGCCCCATTGATTCTGAGACCCTATATAAATAACATTAATGAATGTTACATTATTGTATTGGTGGAAGTCATGCTCCACCCCATTTTGCATTTGAAAAAAACCCAAAGAACTATACAAAATGAAGAGTGAAAGGTAACATAAGCTATGAACTTCACTAATCATACAAAACATCCTATTCTATACAAGATGTTAATAGTAGGGGAACCTGAGTGTAGGCTGATGAGAGTGAGTATGTGGGGACTTTGTGCTTTCTGCTTGATTTTTCTGTATATGGAAAGCTGCTCTAAAAAAAGCTTATTAATTAGAAAAACTATTATTGTATCACATGTCCCTAAGGGTTTTTTTTTTTTTTTAATGTCATAATGCACACGTTAAGTTTCAAGGAAGATTTCCTCTTGGAAATGCAAGGTTGAGAAAATGATCATTTTCTTATTTTGGGTTGCATGTGCTTTCATGCATGACTGGGTAAGTTTGATCAGCTAGCTTCCCTCCGCCCACCTCCCAGATAAACACTGCTAGTAGGGGTACTGTCTCATAGTTCTCTTTACAAGATATATTTGTATGTACCTTTATTTCTCTTGGCAGTTTTGAGTTTAAAGGCATACTTCCACCCGGATAGGGCGGTCTTCTCACTTCCCTACCCCCAATTTCCCCCTCTCCAGGTCTTTTTCTATGTACATAATAAAGAGTCAAATACTGAGAAGAGTAGAAAATGGTAAAAGAGCATTGCACATACAGATTTAACAACTCTGAATCTTTAACAAGTTAACAATTAACATACAGCATTTAACAATTCTGCCGTAATTGCTTTCTGTTTCGCTGCATCATTTTAAAGTAAGTACCTTAATCTTCAGACACAGCTGTACACTTTCTCAGTATCATCACGCCAAGTAATGGTAATCTTTCTTAGTACTTTTAATGTCCAGCCATATTCATGCCTCCGGCTGTTAACATCTGTTTGCAGCTGTTTTTTCCTCCCAAAGAGCATCCAGTCGGGAACCACGCCTTGCAGCTGGTTAGGCCCATGTTCTCTGGGGCGTCGGGAATCACCCGGGCTGCACGCCTCAGGCCAAACTCTCCCTCTGTTCTAAGGAGGCAGAGCGAAACGCGCCCGGGGCGCAGAGGCTCACGGGAAGTGTAGTTTCGGACGCCACGGGCTTCCCGCGCTGCACTCTGGGAACGGCGGTCGGAGCCCCTTCTGCGCACGCGCAGGCCCCGCCCTGCACGGGATGCGCCTCCGCCGCTGGGCTCCTGTGCGAGAGCAGACGCCGTGCCCCCGGGTGAGAGCGCCGGCCACGGCTCCGCGCGGCGTGGGGCCCTCGGGACAGGTGGGCGTGTGCGGGGGACCGAGCGCGCAGGTCCCCGCGCGGCCCGGGGTCTGCGGTGCGGAGAGGGGGATGCGCGGTGGTAGCCTCGGTGACCAGCGGGAGGCTGTGACCGCCAGCTCCGCCCCCCTTAGCTGCCTGTAGGACGTTTTGTCCAATGCGGGTCGCAAGCACCGAGCAAGTGTGGTCCTGAGCAGGAGACGCTTGTTTTCTTGGTTTGGCATTTATTGCACCTTCGGGACGTGTTTATTAAACAAGCCATTTTAAAACATGGACGGTATTCATGGGGGTGGGTGCCCCAGGACACATTAAGTAGGTGAGAGAGGACCCACCCCTCCAACACAGGTTTACCCCCGGTCACTGGCTCTTCTTTACATCCTACCTGCCTGAAACCTTCAGGGGACTTAGGTGGAGCGGCTGTTCCCAAGTCTCCAAGGATGATGACTGTGACAGATGGTGGACAGAATCTCACCATGTGCGAAACAGATCCTGGGATTTGTGGGATCTCCACAGAGCGCTTAGGTCAGAAGGATCTCAGCTCCTGAACCTCTCTGCACGTTTCAGGCTATCTCTGCCCTCAAAGGCACAGATCCATGTTGCCGTGCAGCTGTCCAGTAGAAAGATAATGCAAAACATGCACCAAATTTGGAAGTTTTCAGTGACTACAGGAAAAAAAAAAAAGAAGTCATCAGACAAAGCCAATTTCACTGATGTATTTCATTTAACTCAGTACATCCAATATATTATTTTGGCTTGGGACATGAGCCAAATTTAAGGTGTTCAGTAATTGCATGTGGTTAAGGCTACAGTAAAGGATAGCATGCTTCTAGTGAATTCCAGAAGAATCAGGTTTAGGGTGTTAGGTGAGGGTTCAAATTTGCTCCTCAGGGTCTGGTCCTGGAACCATGGAGCAAAGCAGCTTTTATAAGCAGGGAAGAGGGAGTCCTAGTGACTACTGCCACTAACAAGAAGAGCTAGTTTGATCGAGATTCCTCCCAGAGCTTCAGAGCAAACACAGAAGATTCTAGAAGGAAGAAGGTACTGATTTGCTCTGTTAGAGGCGGTTCTTGATTCCCTACACAGCATGAGTCAGACTTGGTGAAGCCACCACTTCCAGTGGCATCACAGGCTTTGGGATCATGGATGCTGTGAACTAATTTTCAACTTGGTGTTGAAAGGAATGGATGGCCACCAGGCTGCAAAGCAAAAGGCACTTCCTGGAGGGCTGGTGAGGGCTTGATATCTGGGGAAGACGACCAACTGTCAAAATCTTCAACATCCCATTTCCTTCATTCTCCCCTCAGCCTTTCCAGATCCTGAGCTGTCTCATACCATGCCTGTCATCTCATATGGCATGTAGAGTTATGTGGTGCTCCCTCTTTCCTGAACATAGAGAATAACAAAATGATAGTAGAGGAAGTTTTCTATATTGGAAGCTCAAAAATACTGAGTCTTAAAGTTATCCAGGGCAGAACCAGGAGCCAAGCAGAGTGCTGTTCACTTACACAGATGAGTGCCATAGCAACTTATCAAAAGATCTTTCTTTAAAAAATCAACAACCAATTTAGAATCGAAAGTTTAAAAATATGTTGCATAAAACATCCCGTCTTTATTTCGGAGTTTTCTGTGTGTATTCTAACTTTGGAAAGACAGTAAGAATTTAATAAGCCAGCCTGTATAGTTTTTGTGACACTAGTTTTAATGAAGGTGGAGTTTCATTTCTTATGTGGTTGAGTTTTGTTAGCCAATCCTGTTCTTTTATTTTAACTTTTTTGATACATCAACAAAAGACGATTTTTACCTTGGTGATATGTAATCATATCAAGATGCACGTGTTCAGTTCTTGCTGCCTTCATGTGGTCTTTCTTGTCCCTTTTAAGAGTCAAAGGGGTATTCCTCTTCAGGAACCTTTTTATACAGCTGATATGATGAGATTTTTACAGTTTTAAGGCAAACTAGGTCTCTGATGACCCTCGTTTCTCTTATCCCCAGCTGAATCTTCAGTTTCCTCTACTCTTCCAGGAACTGCAGAAAATGAACACATATCCGGTGAGTTTGGTTTGTAATAGCCAGTTTGTTTTACAGTTGATTGTATAAAGGTTTCTGTGTCTGTACATTAACGTGGAAAAAGTAGAAAGACTTTCATAGAAGGTATGGAAATATTGATCAACAGTAGAGTCAAAAGTAGATACAGGTCCTTAAATATCGTAAATTTACTAAGCCAAGTTACAGTTTATTTCTGAGGTGTTTTTTTGTTTGTTTTGTTTTTTGTTTTTTGGTGGGGGGCCTTCCGGCAATAGCCAGAAAACCTGCTAGACAAATTCTAAAAGAGCTGCAATACTTCTCTGAGGTTTCTGATAGTCATGGCAGAGTGTCAGACAGATAATACTTAAAGATTTACATTGGTGAGAAATCTAAAGCAGACTGCTTCCTCGTGGAAGGTTCAAGTTGGTGATTTAGTTAACAACTGGCTAAAAACATAGAAGATTGCCTGTGATCTCAGGGCCCTGTGGGTTGTAATCACATCTGGTGGCCGTCCTCCTTTCCTTACTTAACTTTTGTGCAGCACTTGCCTCTGCTTCTCACTCTGTCCTGGAAAGTTTCTCTCCACTGTCCTGTCCTTTCCCTGCCGGTGCTTCAGGGAGTCATCGTCTCTTGTCCTTTCTCGTGGCTCATCTCTGTACTTCATCCCTGACCCTTTGGTCTTCTTTGTGGTCTCTGATGACTTCATCCTCTCTTATTTTTCAGCTTTGTTGAGATTTAGTTCATGTATTATACTGCTCACCCAATTAAGTGCAGAATTCAGGAATTTTTCACTGTGTTCTCAGGTTCAGTTTTAGAACATTTTTATTGCCTTCAAACCCCTAACTCTCACTGTGTTCTTTCCAAGTCTCAAGCAACCTTAATCTACTTTCTGTCTGGACCACACCCTTTTTATTTCTCATAGGGCAGTTTTGCCTATGATGAATTCTCTTAGTTTTTGTTTCTCTGGGGAGGTTTTGGTTGCCTGTCAATGATTCTTGGTTGACAGTTTTTTTCTTTGAGTACTTTGAATTTGTCATCCCATTAACTTCTGTCTTCATGGTTTCTCGTTAGAAATCAGCTTTAATATGACTAGTCATTTCTCTCTTTCTGACTTTAGAATTATCTCTTTGTTACTGCCTATAGTGACCTAGGCAGGTAATCCCAGCTACTCAGGAGGCTGAGGCAGGTTCAGTGCCAACCTGGGCAACTTAGTGAGAATTTATTTCAAAATAAAAATAAACAGGGTTGGGGATGGGCATGCTCAGTGGTAGAATGTCCCTGGTTCAGTCCCCAGTACCACAAAAAAAAAAAAAAAGATTGTCTGTCTTTGGCTTTTCAACACTTTGATTATCAAGGGTCCAGCTGTGGCTTCTTACTCCAAGTTTATCCTATTTGAAGTTTTTTGAGCTGCTTCAGGGTATAGACTAATCATTTTCATGAATTTTGGGACTTCATTGCTATTGCTTTTTTTAAATTTCTTTTCAGGCCCACTCTTCTCTCTGTCTGGCACTCTCATCCTGCCTGAGAGCAAGCTTGATGCTGTCCCACAGCTCATTTTCTGGCATTATTTCTTTGTTTCTCTCATTGCATACTCTTAAGAGACATGTATGTTGTCCTTTGCTTCCCCCCACACTTGCTCACATCTACTCTTGAACAAATTTTTATGTGAATTTTTTTTCAGTTATTGTACTTTTCAACTCTAGAGTTTCTATTTGATTCCTTTTTATAACATTTATCACTGTGTTCGTATACTTTGTTGGGTGAAATGTGATTTTCATGTTTTATTTTGGTCCTTAGACATCATTTTTCACTGGGTCTTTGACCAGATTTAAAATAGCTGATCTGAAGTCATTGTCTGGTTAATCCAGTATCTGTTTCCTCAGGAGTTAGTCCTATTTATTGCACTTTTCCCCTTCCACATGGATCTTACTTTCTTTTTAATTTTTATCTTTTGTAATTTTTTTGTTGAAAACTGGATATTTTAAATAAAACACTGTGGCAACTGTAGAAATCAAGAATTTCTCCCCTCCACAGGAATTAGGGTTGAAATTTATTTATTCAATGACTTTAACAACTAGTTTTGAAGAGCCTGAGTTTTTGTTGTGAGTGGCAGGCAGCTGAAGTCTCTGCAGAAATTTCTTTAATTCCTGAAATCAGTATGTCTTCCTGGTTTTGCCAAAGGGTTCTGCTCCTTTAGGAGCATCAGGCCATTTCCACCTCTGCACCAGCCTTCATGCTCTGCTTACTGTAGACTTCCAGGTCATGCAGAGGCGGTAGCCTCAGGCCTTCTCCTGTCTGTCCTAAGCGTGCTCACAACCCCGACCCGCTGCTCAGCTCTATGTTGGCAGCCTTCTAGAGTCTCAGGAATAGAAGGGAACTTTTTAAGACTTTTGTGCACATGTCATTCTTCTTTTTTTCTTTTTTAGTTTTTTGAAAACTGAAACTGACATTCCCATTGTTTCTTACCATTCCAGGGCACTGCTAAGTTAAACAATTGCTTTGAATGCTTTTGACTAAGGCCTTTGAGGATAAGGTTTTTTTACTAGCTGAGCTTTGCAAGTGTGTTCTGCTGGGAACTATCAGACAGGTCAAATGATGAGTGAGTGTCTGGGAGTGAGGCTTTGAACGTGAACCCAGATCTGCCTCCTCCTAGTTGCCAGACTGCTATTTTTCACTCTATTTCAGACCATTGGGTTCTCAGTTGAAGCTACTGCAGAATTGAGGGGAAAGAAATGGAGATGGACAAGTTAAAATGTCCCAAGATCACAGTTCTTCGTATGATGCTGCTGTTTTTCTTTTATAACAG